CAGCCACGTGACTTGCTTGGGCCAATAGAATGTGGAGGAAGTGATGGTGTCAATTCTGAGCTTGGGCCTTAAGGGGCCTTGTGGCTTCTGCCCTCACTGGGAGATCCTGCCTCTGTCGTGTGAACAAGCTTGGGCCACCCTGCTGGCGGATTAGAGGTGACACGGAGGAGAGGCCCTCTCTGATGGGGCTGTTGGATGGGTCTCTGTCTCCATGCAGAGCGAGCTCTGTGCCTCGTGGGTGTTGAGTGGCGGCTGCCTGTGGACGGGTGAGGGGCAGGCAGGAGGTACCTCTAGTGCTCGATGAGGAGTGAGCCCGTGGCCCCCAACAAGACTATGGCTCCCAGAATTCCAGCCACGAGGAGGCCGATGGCAGGCCCTCCTGACAGGGAGAGCGTGGGGTCTGGCTCGATGGGCTCAGCGTCCGTGGGATCCATGATGGGTTTTGGGGACCAAAGAGGGGCAAGATTGGAGGCATCACCCTCCCTCCCTCCCTCCGCACCCCCCACTCTGGCCATTCCACCTCCTGAGTGTATCTCTCCAATCCATCCCCTCCTCCCCACCCTCCGGCCCTCCGCCCCAGCCTTCCCCTGCCCTCCTGACCCCGTCTGGCCCACACACGTCTCCTCCCACTGCACGGAAGCCAGAAGGGGCTTTCCAAAGCTCACACTTGACCCTATTTCTCTTCTGCTAAGAAGCCTGCTATAGCTCCCCAGCACCCTGGGGCAGAAGCTGGTCCCTGAGCTTGGCCTTCAGACCCTGCCACCTGGCCAGCACTGCCCAGCATGGGCTGGACACACAGTAGGTGCCCAATAACCATTTCCTGAACAGCAGCTGAATGCATAAAAGGGGTCTTGGAAGTATCATCATTCTCAATGACTATATCAGGGTCACCAGGTGCTGTAAGAGGTAAATTTTTTTGTTCTCCCAGTGAACCAACCCAACACCAAATCCTGGAGCTCCCCCTGGACCCTGGCTGGGGAGATGAGGCGGTTCTCTGGGTTCTCCGGGACCTGGCCTGGCCAAGCTTTCTGTCACCCCATCCTGTCCATGCCCATCCGGCTCTGGACCTGGCTTAGGTGCTCCTTGCCGTCCCAAATGCGCTCCCCCTCTTCCCAACTGGCGCCAGCTCCTCTGTATTCTTCTAGTTCACCCCAAGCCGTTTGTCCTCCATGAATAAAACACTAAAAACAATATTCCTGATAACGGCTGCTCTTCGGCACACCTGCTGACAGGTGTTCTGCCGGCCTCGGTCCCCCATCGTTTCTGTTCCTTCTAACAACCCTGCGAAGGTATATAGGCTCGCCCCATCATACACAGGAGGTAACTGAGGCTCAGAGAGGGGAAATCACTTGCCCTAAGTCACCCAGCCAGGAAGGCACAGGAACGGGAACTAAACCCAGTTTCAACCAGCTCTCAAACCACTTCTCTGACCCCAACAACCTGCCGTTCTCGTTATGGCTGCCCGGGGCCCCACACACGCTACCGCATATGCTAATAGTCACAGCACTAATGACAAAAATGATAACCCTAATCGTAACAACAGCACTGACTCACACTCATCGAGCACACACCAGTGTTTGACAGAGCGAGGCATTATTATTTTAAGCTGTTCACCTGCTTATCTCATTGAATGCTCTTAACTGTGCTTTGAGGTGGGCACTATTATTTTCCCAATGTTGTAGATGAGGAAATTGAGGCACAGAGAGGTCAAGGCACTGGCTCAAAGTCACACAGCCGGGAAGTGGTGGAGCCAGAATTGAAATTCCGAAGTCGGTGCTCTGAGCCACTCCTTGTGGTATGATCTGCGTGTTTGGCAGGCACGTGCGGAGCCTCAGGGGAAAAGGGGCTTCCCATGTTCGCGCAGCCAGCAAATGCTTGGAGCTGGGACCCAGGTCGCCTGGTCCGGATCCTTAGCTGGGCTTTGTACAGTTAACGTCTTTCAGCTGCAGCTTGTCATCGGAAAATAGGCTACTAATCCACAGCCCGCCAGCTGGATGGAAGAATGGAATGACATTTTGGCTATAAAGGCTCTGAGAGGGGACTGCTCGTAGAAGGTGGCTCAGCAGAATCGGGAAGGCTGCCACAGGCCAGTGAGGGTGCAGGGGCCTTGGGAGGGTGGGGGACTCACGTGGCAGCATGACAGTCACGGGCTGGGAGGACCGCTGCTCCTCGCTGCTCGTGGCCGTGCACACGTAGGTGGCCAGCTGCTCCCAGGACAACCGCCGGATGAACAGCTGCTCCCCGGTCCCACGGATCTTCCCATTGAGGGTCCAGCTCAGGGTTCGCTATTGTCACCCACTCCAAGATCACCGAGTAGTTGAGGTCACTCTCGATGACGCCCTCAATAGCTTGTGGGACTGTCAGCAGCGGCACTGGCTTGAAGCTGTCTGCAAAAACAGGGAGCGAGGCCACGTGGGTGGGGACCGCTCAGAGAGGCTGGGCATTTCTTCTGTGCGCCACAGGGCCGTTGATCCATCCATTCGTTTGTTCATTCATTCACCAAGGAATGTGTCCGGAGAGGCTGGCCTGTGCCCAGGGCTGCCCTAGACTGTGGGCGTAGCAGAACTGTTGGTGGCCCACTCCAACCCCTCCAGCTGAGCACTTCCAACTGCCAGCCCCTGTGTCCCGTTGCCCGAGGGCTTTTACTGGTTGCCAGCGTCCCTTTGCCAGGGAGGCAGCAGGCCAGAAGCGCTGCGGAATGAGCACCCACAGCCGCGGGCCTCCACGATGCCTTCTCTGCCTCCCTGCCCCCCGCCCACCCCCCAGTTCTCTGCACCTCCCAGATAACCCGCCTTTGAATTCTCGCCTCTGGATCTGCTTCTGGGTGAACCAAATCTAGGACACTGGGTCTCAGCAGTGATTAAACAGAGGCAGTCCCTGCCCACATGGAACCCACCATCAAGTGGGGAGACAGTCAACAGACAGACAAACAAATATGTAGTAGTGGTAAGAGCAGGAGGAAAACTGCAGAGGGCTGCGGGCTGGACTGGAGGTGGGGTAAGTGCATTGCAGGTAAGGTGGGTCAAGGACGGCCTCTTTCAGGAGGTGACGAATGAGCAGAGTCCTGAAGGAGGTGAGGAAGGAGCCACGCGGATTCCTGGGGAAAGAGTTTTACAGGCAGAGGGAACAGTAAGTGCAAAGGCCCTGAGGTGGGTGCGAGCCAAGGTGCGCACAGAGAGGAGGGAAAGATGGAGAGAAGTGGGAGAAGAGGTCAGGGAGGCAGTGAGGGCAGATCATGCAGGACCTCCTGGGCCAGGGTGAGGACTCTGACTTTGACTTTGAGCGAGGCGGGAGCCACTGAGCAGAGGAAGGATATGAGCTGGCTTAGGTGTGGACAGGATGTGTCTGGCTACCACGTGAGAAACTGCCTTTAAGGGTGCAGGAGTGGACACTGGGAGCCCAGTTGAGGAGGTGACCCCAGTGGCCCACAGTTCTCATCCACATTTTTCAGGCGAAAGGCTCTGAGGTTCAGGGGTGATGAGGGCCAGGCCTCATGCTCAGAGAGGGGCACATCTGAGATTAGAACTCAGGCAGTGTGTCCTGGGAGCCTCCACTCAGAGCTGATTTTTTTATTTCAGTGTAATGTGATAGGTCAAAAGAACTTTACCAGAACCAGGGAGCTCCCCGAAGGCTTCCTGGAGGAGGAGGTGCCTGAACTAAGCCTTGAAGGAGGAGAAAGAGCCACCAGACGTAGAAACAAGAACTCATGTGACAGCCACCTCGACAGGGCTCTTACCACAAGCCGAACACCATCCTAAGCACATGTGTTAATTCAGGGCTTGTTATTCTCCAAGTGAAACCCATGCGTGGGCGGTGAAATCATTTAATAGGTTGTCATCGGCACTGGAAACATGAAAAGAAATATTACAGAAAACATCAGACTGTGTTATTCACAGTAATAACTATGTTACCAGCAGTAACAGTAATAACTCCATGTATATTATTACTAGAAGTAACTATGTTACTAGGATAACAGTTACTATTCCAAGCACGATGTGCTCTGCATTCCTTATGAAAACCACTGGATTCGCTCATTTAATCCTTACAACAATCCCTTGAGGTAATTAGCATCATTATTATCCCTATTTTGATGGGAAAACGAAGGCTCAAAGAGATCAAGCCCCTTGAAACTAACAGGGCTACCATTTGCTTACCCCGTGGCAGGCGCTGTTGTAGGCATTTGACACGATCGACTCATTTACTCCTCCTAATAACCCTATGAGATAGGTTCTGCTATGATCCCATTGCACAGATGGGGAAACTGAGGCACCAGGAAGGGAAGTCACTTTTGCAAGGACTCATGTACGGCCTCAGTGACGGTGCAGGACGCGGTGCAGGGAGTTCTCGCTCCAGAGCCTGCTGCCACGCTAGGGAGCACAAGTTCCTGCTACGTCTGTCTTTGGGAAGGGCACTCGGGCTGAGAATGGCATAGGCAAAGGTGGGGAGGCCTTTAGAAGAGGAATCAGCCTTCAGGTCACAGAAATACAGACTGATGGCCCGCAACAGTCCTTAGGATCTCTGGGGGAAGTAAAAGCCCCTCGGTGCAGAAGCAGGGTTCCGAGTAGCCACGCCTGGCCTTTGCATTCTACCACAGAGACGTTGCCGGGCTAGAGAGGCAGCGCGGAAGGAGAGAAGCTCCAGGATCATAGAGAGTTTTGCAAAATCCCAGTTCAGTCTTTTGCTCACTATATGCCCACAGGCCGCTGACGTCACCACTCTGAGCCTCAGTTTCCCCACCTGTGCAATGGGGCTGGTGCTCAGAGCATCTGCGTTCTCAGGTTGTTGGGAAATGACCCAGTGTCTGGTACACAGAGAATGCTCAGTGAATTGGCGCCTGATGTTTACTCCGGTTGGCCCCTCTGCAGGAACACTTTCCCCCGCTTTTCACCTGGCAAACTCCTACTCATCCTACAAGTCCCAGCTCAGATGTCCCTTCCTCCAGGAAGATCCACCTGGCCCCCCACCAGGCTGGTCAGACATCTTTTATTCCCGTATCTCCCTGGCTGAGACCCCAGCATCAACCACAATAGAGAAGGCTAAGGAAGTATTTGACGCACACGTAACATAACTTTTTGGGAAAAATCGTGTTGAACGGAAGGCCTACTGCCACCAGCTCTGCCCCAATCCCTCGGTTCTTGTCTCCCTGCCACAAAGAATGACAGCGGTCTACAGATCAAGAGTAGAAAAAGGACTTTACTGTAAGCTGAAAGGAAGCAAAAGTGCTTGAAAGTCCACTCCACATGGCAGGAGTGGGGAGGGGACCTTTGTCCGCAGGGACTCTGGCCCCGAGCTCTCTTTTGTCATTTTCCCTCAGGGAGGAAGGGCCGTGCTGTGCTGTTCGAGTTGTCCAGTGGAGGGTTTGTCTCCACCCTTGCTTTCTCTGCGGTGCACTTGGTTCTCCTGCCTTTCTGCACTCAGCAGGCTCAAAAGTGCCATGAAAAGTTCCTTTGTCTTTCTTATGTCCTCGGCTCACTTGCCTCCCCTCCTCCCGCTCATATCTAACCTGTCTGCTCTAACACTACGTTCGGCCCTGCTCACCCGCAGCTCCACCTGTCCCCTTCAGCCACACCGAAACACCAGTGGCCTTCTCTGTTCCGCAACCTGGACGCTGCTCTGCTCCCAATGCCTCAAACTCGCCAACACCGCTCTTACCCCTCCAGCCCTTGCCCGTGCTGTTCCCGCTGCCTGGAACACCCTTCCATACCACCTTTATTGGCTAACTTTTATTTTGCTTCAGGTATCGTTTTAAATGGTACGTCTGCAGAGAAACTTTCTTCGATCCTATCCTTGCAATGATTCGTTTAGTGTCTGTCTCCCGTGATAGACTGGGAATTCCAGGCTGGAAGAAACTAGCTCTTTATTGTGCGCTGCTGATTTTCCCCCTTGTCTGGGAAGTTCCCCCAGACCTTCTTGGGGGGCTCAGGGAGGTACTCTCTGGGTTCCCCCGACCCAGCCCTGCCCACTGTGGGTCGTCACTGTCTGGAGATAAGTCTGTCTCCCCTAGTGGACCGTGAGTGCAAGGAGGTGAGGGCAAGGCCAGGGCTGTCTCAGTCACTGTTGGGTCCCCAGTACTGCCCAGCACCGGGCCAGACACAGAGTAGGTGCTGATGTTTTGTTGAATAAATGGATATAACAAAGTATCCCAGCCCTGCTCAAGCCTTCCCCCAAAGCCTCATCCCCCCTAGCCCACGTCACTTGTTGCTAGGCAATGGACACCTTTTCTACACCTGCCACGCACCCATTGTGGAGCTGGCGGCCCACACAGTGCGGGCTGACCAGCAGGTGGCTTGCCTGGCTGACCTAGCAGCCAAACACATTGGGTTGGAAGGAACACTTGGCTAAGCCATTGGGATTCAGAGGAGTGGTGAGACCCCCAAAGGGCATCCTTAAACATCAACCTCTGGCAGAAACTGCTGGATGGCTCCCAACATCTCTTCTTCCCTTCTTCCTTTAGTCACAAACCCCCAAGTTTTAGGAGGGCATATGGTTGCCTGGGATAAAGACTACATTTCCAGCTTCTCTCTCTTTTTTTTTTTTGAGACAGAGTCTCACTGTGTTGCCCGGGCTAGAGTGCCGTGGCATCAGCCTAGCTCACAGCAACCTCAAACTCCTGGGCTCAAGCGATCCTCCTGCCTCAGCCTCCCGAGTAGCTGGGACTACAGGCACACGCCACCATGCCCAGCTAATTTTTTCTATATATATATTTTTAGTTGTCCAGATAATTTCTTTATTTTTAGTAGCCACGGGGTCTTGTTCTTGCCCAGGCTGGTCTCGAACTCCTGAGCTCAAACAATCCTCCCACCTCGGCCTTCCAGAGTGCTAGGATTACAGGCGTGAGTCACCAGGCCCGGCCTACATTTCCAGCTTCTCTTGCAACTAAGTATGGCCAAGTGACTAGCTTCCAGCCAATGGGTTATGAGCAACCTCAGTGTTGGCTTTTAAAAGGAAGTCATTTTTATTCCCTTTTCCCTTTCTCTGGTACGTTGCTTCGAATGCAGATGTGATGGGAGCCATCCCAGTCCCATGGTGGGACAACACCCTAGTGATAAAGGAACAACTAGAAGCCTGGATCCCTGCACCATGAAGCCACCATATGGTCCCTCAACTGTTTATGCCAGACTGTAATGTAAGAGAGAAATCAACCCTCATCTTGTTTCAGACTCTGTTATTTTGGGTCTTTGTTAGAGCAACAGAATCTGAATCCTAACTACTATGATCTCTGTTAAGGACTGTATTGAATCCCCAAAATTCATATGTTGAAGCCCTAAGCCCTAGGACCTCAGAATGTGACTGCATGTAGAGACAGGGTCTTTGACGAGGTGATCAAGTCAGAATGAAGCTGTTAGGCTGGGCCCCAATCCAGTCCGACTGGTGTCCTCATAAGAAAGGAAGGTTGGGCAAACGGAGAGATGCCAGGGGCGTGCACACACTTGGAAATGGGAGGACAGAAGGAGAAAGCGGCCATCTGCAAGTCAAGGACAGACGCTTCAGAAGAAACTCAACCTGCCAACACTTCGATCTCGGACTCCAGCCTCCAGAACTGTGAGGAAATTAACTTCTGTCCTTTAAGCCACGCAGTCTGTGGTAGCCCAAGCAGTCTAAGATGGTCTATAAACTGCCTTCTAAGGAGGATGGGTCTGGTTGCCCTCCGGGCTTTGTTTTTCTGGTTCAGGTATTAAAGTTCAAGTCCAGAGCTTGAAAGCGCATTAAAACATAAGTGAAGTTGAAGGCTGCTACCAGAGACCGTCTCCGCCTTTTCTACGTGATGGTGAACATGTATCTCATGAACGTCTGTGGGAAGGTATAGTCCACGACAAAAAATGGCCGCAACACCTTGTAACTCCTCCCCTTTAAGAGGCGGAGCCTAGTTCCCCCCTATAGAAGCTGAGCCGGCCATGTGACTTGCTTTGGCCAATAGAAGGTGGAGGAAATGATGACGTGTCAAATCTGAGCCTGGGCCGCGACGGAGCTTCTGCGGTCGCTCTTCTTCGCTTGCTGGCTGAGCCTGCTGGAGGATGGCAGGCCCCGTGGCCCAGTCAGCCCCATCGCCCCAGCCACCAGCCGGGCCACTGCCAGGCATATGAATGAGACCATTCTGGACCGGCGCCCAAGCACCCACACCTGACCACAGGAACCGTCCCGCAGCATCGTGAGTGAAATAAATGGTTGCTGTTTTAAGTTTTGGGGTATCTTGTTGAGGGGCGATTGATTACTGGCGTGCGATGTGTCCTGACGCGCCCTGCTGGGGTCCGGGGGGTCTGCTTTCTGAGTACTCAGCCCCTCCCACCGCGGGGCGCCACTCACTCCTGACGCGGATCTGCTCCGTCGCACTCCTGCGTCCCCTGCTGGTTTCCAGCACGGCCGTGTAGCTGCCCGAGTCCTGAGCCGTCACGTTTCTGATGACCAGGCTGCCTTGGGTGCCCAGCATCTCCCGGCCAGTGTGAGCGGGTCCCGGGAGGCCCTCAGGGGAGAATATCATGGCTGCGGGCTGGGCTTCATGCCCTCGGAACCACGAAGTGGTGAGGACGCCATCCAGTCTTCGGGTGACAGGCAGGTGGACGCTGGCTCCTTCGGTCAAGGGATCCAGTTGCGCGGAGGAGGGCAGCTGGGAGGAGGCAGAGCAGGTACAGGAGGCGAGCAGGGTGCCTTGGAGGAGGTGGGTAGGAGGAAGAGACAGCAGGGGGAGCAAAGGAAATCAAAGGCAACATGCTGCCCCACAAGTCCAAGTCACCCTTCCCAAGCCACTGAGTGTGTGCTTGGCCCACCAAGAGTCGATGATGACAACGATGATAATGATAAGAGCAGAGTAGAAAATAACAGGGCACATTCACTGATTGATTGAGCATCTACTGCAAGCTTGCCATGGTCTTTTTTGTTTGTTTGTTTTGGAGACAAGATCTCACTCTGTTGCCCAGGCTGGGGTGTGGTGGCACGATCATAGCTCAGGCCCAGGCTGGTCTCGAATTTCTGGCCTCAAGCAATCCTCCCACCCTGGCCTCCCAAAGTGCTGGGATTATAGGTGTGAGCCACTGCACCTGGCCCCACCAGTGTTCTAAGTGCTGGACATGTATCAACTCATTGATTCCTCACATCTAACCTGCTAATCACACATTCATATTATGCTGGATGTTGCAAACAGCTGCTTCCCACACTTCTCTGCTCTGTTGTCTGAAAGGATGACTTCTCTGAGCTGTGTTTGCGGGCAGTTACCTACGCTCCCAGCAAAAAATCGGGTCCCTTAGGTAGGGGTTGTCGCAAAGGATAAGAAAATAATAGAAAATGGAAAATAATAGAAATAAAAGAATACACAGAGACAAAGGTATCGTTTCATAGGTTTATAGAGATAAAAGGCAAAGCAGGGGTACTCAGGGGTCCTTACGAATATCTCCGTGAATTGTAAGGCCAGGAGTGAAGTTTTACATGGGTATTTTTGGGTACAGTGATCGGTTGCCAGGGGTAACAGATTTACATAATAACAGGTAGTTCATTTTAGGTTAAAAGTCTAGGTTAGAGAAGTCTAAAGACTTCTTTAGATCCCTTAACTAACTCTATCTACGTGAACAAATGGTCACAAAAATCTTTCAAAGACAAACTTTCTAAGTTCTAAGATAAAGCTATCACTTAACAGAAGGACCAAACAGAGATATAGTGGCTCCATATTTCTTTCTCTAGTAATTGCAAATGGAGACAGGTAGTCAGAAGTCGAGCAGGAACTGTCCCTTGGGCTTATTGTTTTCAGCCACAGGTGTCTGTCCCTCAGGAGGGCATTCTTTGATCAGCTCTCATCCTGTGGCTCCTCGCAGACCTGCTTTGTGGTTCAAAGCAGGCGAGAACCACAGGTTTGAGATTTGCAGCACCACCTTGGAAAGCAGCTGCCACTGACCTTTGAGATGCCCTCCTGAGGTGAAGCAGCTTTTGATATGCAAACTAACGTGTGCACATATTCCTTCAGGGCAAAGCCCTGTAAAACTCCTGGGACCATGTCTGTCTCTAATATAGTTATATTAATTTATGGAGCGACAGCATTGTTGGGGGTCCCTTGCCTTTTGCTGCTGGTTGGCTTCTGCTAGTGGGCATGTTGCTAGAAGACGGGAAGGCAGCAGAGGAGTGAGCTTAGGGATTAGACCTGAAGTTCTCTCCTCCACAGTTACCAGGGCTTGGCTGTGTCCTAGCTCCTGCTGGGCAGCCCTCCCCAAATGCTACTCTCTTCTGGTTCTGGGTTCTGCTCTTCCTCTTACACCTTCTAGTCTGGAGGAAGTAACAGCTCCCTGCAGTTGCTAGCCCCTGGGTGCTGCATAATTTCATGTTGTTCTCCCTATGCCCTGCCTACACCTCTGCAAACAATCCCTGTCTTAAACTCTCCTCACTACGCCCTTAGAGTAGACCATCTGTCTCTTGCCTCAACCATTATTGACATGACTGTGATACCCCATTGACAGATGAGGAAACTGAGGCTCAGAGAATTTAAGACATTTGTCCAGGACGTCATAGGTGGCAAACAGTAGAACTGTGATCTACACCCAGGCAGTCAAAATTCTCAGCCACTAAACTGTACTGATGAGTGTTCCCCCCATCCCCTGCCTTAGTGTCTCTCATTTCCTCTTATTAAAATTTCATACTGAGATAGGGAACCGGCAGGCCCTGTTTGATAAGACCCAAACCAACGTCTCTGACAAAAGAGGATACGGTGGAGAAACCGGTAAAACCAAGATGGTAACTGAAGCAACCTCCACCTGCCCTTGTTGCTCATTACACCCTGCTTATAATGTGTTAGCATGCTAAAAGAAACTACCACTAGCGCCATGACAGTTTACAATCACCATGACAACTCCTGGAAGTTACCCTATATGGTATAAAAGGAGGAGGGACCCCAATTCCTGGAACTCTCCACCCCTTCCCCAGAAAACCCATGAATAATCCACCCTTTATTTAGCATATAATCAAGAGGCAGCCATAAATAAAGTCCACCAGCAATGTATGAGGGCTTCTCTGTCTGTGGAGCAGCCTGCTTGCCACGTTTGTTTAATAAAATTTTGCTTCCTTTTCCAACTTGAGGCTTGCACTTAGATTCTTTCCTGCATGAAGCCAAGAACCCTCTTGGCCTTCAGGGTGAACCCCAGTTTTGGGGTCCACTTTCCTCTGTCAGTATTGGTTGGAGCTTGGAGTTGAACCCTTGGAGTTAGGTTCCACATCCCATTCCCTTACCCATTCCACTCTTCTGCCTCTCTCTGTAAGGATGTGGTAGGAACACACACCCTAGCCATAAAAGACTGAAACTTTTGACATAAAAGTGAAAAGAAATTCCTGCAAGGTTAAAAAAAACAAAAAACCACTCACAAAGTCAGGAGAATAATGACATACCAGGGAAAATTATTTGTAACTGATATCACAGACAAAGAGCTCATTTCACTAATATATAAAGAGTTCCTGGAAATCAATAAGAAAAATATCAGCAACCTAACAGAAAAATGCACACCCGTGGTTGAATCTCAAAAATGTTATGTTGAGTGATGAGTGCTCAAAGTGTACTCTAAAGAAAATCTAACCTTTTTTTTAAAAAAAGAAAATCAGTGGTTGCCTGGGGTGGGGAATTAACTTCAGAGGGGCACAAAGCAATCCTGTTGGGTGATTGAAATGTTCTATATCTTGATTGTAGTGGTGGTTACATGGTCACAATATATCAAAATATACATTTAACGTGGTAGTATTTTAATGGATGTAAACTATACCTCAATAAAGTTGATTTCTAAAAGTATACAGATACTTAACATCTCTGTGCTTCAGTTTTCTCCTTTGCAATAGGAGAAGAGCAGCACCTGCCTGGTGGGGTTGTTGAAGGAATAAAGGAGAATAAAAAGTGTGAAGCTATCTTGCTGTGAATGATAAATGGAAGCTATTGTTATTGTTCCCCTTTGGCATGCCCTTCTCTGGAAGCTGATACAGGGCGGGGGAGGGGGGTACGCCCCCTCAATCTAGTTCTTACACCCCCTTCTCATCCCAGGTGGCTATGGACCAGTATCAGGGCTACGAGCCTCGCCCAGCTCAGCGGCAGCCACTTGCTGTCCTGTGTGATGGCGCCCCCTGGCGGTAGAGGTGTGTATTTGGGTGAGGACAATGGTGGGATCGTTGCTTGTCTAGACGTGGGTGCAAGACTGGGCCTCCATCTCCGGGAGTGGGTGGGTGCAGGACATCAGGACCCACCCCATCTACAGCTCCTGGGGATCACAGCTAACACTCCCTGTGGCTGCCATATGGGAAGAATGGATTACTGATTGATGTTGGCTTCTAGCTGGGTAGGACAGGGACTTTGCCCCAGCTGAGGCCAGGATTTTATCAAGAGTTTTGATAAGAAGGGGCAAGGCTGGGCTTGAAGAGGAGATTAACTGCTCTTTGGCCGTGCCTGCTCCCCAGAACACCATCTGCCCCAGGTGAGCGACAATCCGCGACCCACTGTGGATCGTTTTTGGTGGAGTCAGTTCTCCAAACATCTGTCAGGAAACTTTACAGATTAGAGACCCTCAGGGGCTGAAGGTTTAGGATGCCCACCGTCTCTGCAAAAGGAATAAAGTTTGGGAAGAGATACCTCTGATATCCATGCCCTCTTCTTCCTTGCTAATTAATATAAACCTTATTTTTTAAATGGACACATGGAAGCCCAGCAAAAATACTATATTGTCTAGGTGCCCTGAAGCTGTGTGTGGCCATGTGACTACCTTTTGGCCAACAGATAAAAGTAGAAGTGTTGTATGGGACTTCCAGGAACTGACCTTAAAGAGAGTTTTTTTAAAACCCCTTCTTCCTTTGCACTATTAACTGGAATGTGGCTATGATGGTTGGAGTGCTGGCAGCCAGTTTGGGCCACAGTTATATACCAAAGATGACAGAATGATAATATGAAAGAAACCTCGGTTCCCATGATTATGAAGGCCTGGATTCTACTTTCAGACTCCATTTCTGTAAAAGAGAATTAAATTTCCATCTTGTTTAGGACATTTGATTTGGGGTTTTTCTGTTATTATACTTGCAGCTGAACCTAGTCTTGACGAAATGCTCTCTTTGGGAGGAGAAATGCAGGGTACATCCTATCAGGGCAGGTGTACTACTTAAGGTTCTTTTGGAAACCACCATCCAGGAAACATAGACGCCAGAGAAACGGGGTCAGTGTTCCAAAATTAAAACTGAAGGTCGTGCTTATATAGGCAGAAGACAAAGAAATTTAGAAGGATTATAATATTTTCTATACAAGGCTGGTTTATGAGTTACAACAATTTAATTAGTTACAGTCTATTTTCTTTTCCATACAGCTCGTTTCCATTTCCTTTCCAATTTAAAAGAGGGTATTTAACATTCCATCATAGACAACGTGATAGTCATAAAAAAGTCTTTGTGTAAGAAAGGGAAGAAGGAATTTAATCTAGGATGACGTTCTACAGTGAAGAGGGAAGAAGTCTTCCCTGTTGCCATTTACAACATTTTACA